CTTTTTATTTAGTTAACGGATCCTCTTTGAAAGAAACTTATTTTTAAGACCATTTACTAATCAAAAAGAATCTAATCGAAACAGAATAATAAATTAGTCGATAAAAAGCAAAACTATTTAATCAACAAGAGACACTTGATGAACAAGGCTAACAAATAAATGTAAAAAACGAAAAAATGAAAATTCTATTAGCAAAATGATCAAGCTAAAGCAAACATACCATTCTCAAACTTATTATGATAGAAAAATCAACGAAAACAAGCATCCGAAATATTAAGAAATCATTTTTGAAAGATTTTCGCCCATCTGGATTACGGACAGACTATAACATCTTATATGCATTTAATCGGCACCCACTTGGCAGGACAGGATGAAAATGAAGACTCGGAAGTATAAGATACGCAAGGAATTGAGAAGTCGAACGACTTACATTCTCGTCTCGATTTTTCATTTAGCTATCGAGCCAAAATTCCATTAAAAACGATGCTTCAAAATCTCTATAGACGGCTCGAAATGAACTTTATTGGACCAAATGATGATCGGGTGAAAATGATTCTATATGCTTTAAATTGAACATTAGACGAGCCTGATAACAAAGAGGATGGCAGTTCTTCAGATCCAGTATTGACTCATCTTTTGAATTCAAACCAATAGAATGATCCGTTAATAAACAACCTGGAAAGTGAAGAAGAAATGGTCGTTTGTATTCCATTACATAGTTTTTCTGAATTCATTTGTTTGTACATATTAGTTTCCTTTGCTTCTTATTAGAAATATAACCCATTTATGTTGAACTGATATATCTGTCATCCGAAAGTGATCATTATATGTGCTTTCTTTTTCCTTTCAATCGAAAACAACCAAACAACTTACTTTCTGACACTTTTTTCTACAAAAGTGACACGTTATGTTTGTTTTGACAAATTTATTAAAGTTATTTTATTGAAAATTATTTTCTATCTTTTGCTGGTCCGCTTTTTTCACATCATGAAATATCATAGAAAATTGTTTTTATGTTTGCAATTGCTGAATATGAAAAGATAAATTTATTTCAAAAGCCTTTATCCTACTCTATTCCATTCGTTGACACACATTATCATCTTAATGATTCTTCAAATAATCATTCGTTGTTTTAAGCAGTCTCTGACTCGACGATTCAGAAAGTTTTTTCGATACTCTACTGGAGCGTTTATATTTACAAGACGTTTGGAATGTATCGAAATTTTATCATATAGCAGAACTAATATTTCATACTCTGTTATCTACAATATAGTTTTCAAAACAGACTTAGATAAAACAAGTCAATTTCCATTTGACCTTGAAAAAGTAGCTGTTGAACGACAGGTTCTTTATTGTCCATGACATCAATTTACATCTGACCCTTCGTGGTTGCGAACATTCTCTTCTTCGTAGTTTGTCTGAATGGGATACTATTTGACATTTTCAAACTCGATTCTTTCGTTGAATAGTGCTAGCACACACATAAAAGACATTGATCGAGTTGCTCCAAAAGCCTTTTCTCCACATGATTTTAATCCATGTACAGGATCGCGAATATTACTGCTTAAGGGCATGAAAAAGTATTTTTAATGTATGTTCTTTCTATTATTATTTTTGCTCTTGTTTTCCTTTGCTTGCTTAGCTATATTGTTATTTTATATGATTTGTCACGATTCTGGAATCAGTTTGCTCATGTTGCTCGTATGCATGAAAACTGGTTCTGACTCTTCTATTACATTATGTGCATTTTTATTTGAGCTTGTTGTTCATATTCAATGTCACTCGAAGAGTTGAATAATATCATCAAATCCATCGTTTATCTAACATGTTTTTATTGACAAACAAGAGAATATTCTCCTGTGTCTTCATTTTTTGTTACTTTTAACATGTTAAGTTTGATTTATTTACTATAATTCGATTATATGTTAGATCAACTAGTCAACAACTGTCGTTATTTTATTGTCGATTACTGTTCGTTATATATAATTTAATACTAAGAAAAATAGGTTGCGATCTACACAGTTGAAAACAAGGATCCTTGAAAGAAACAGATACATTTTTTCTAATGAAAAAAAAATTTTATTAATTTTTTGTTGCTTAGTACATTGCAAATAGCACTTATAGTTCTAATTGAAGAACAGACATTTGAAATTGTTTTTAATAATCTTGTCTTTCTTGAAACAGACATTTCCTTTTTTTTTCATTTGCAACCAATGTATTCGAATACAAGATCATTGTTTATTGTCTATTTTCAATAATTAAAATGCTTCTTTTTCGTATTAGACTGTTTAAATCAAAATGATATTAATAGATTTATCTATAAGTTTAGATTCACATGGTAAATCAATATATATTTTATTCCTTCTAATGAAGTTCTGACTGCAAAACTTTTCATCCTGAACCGTATATTTTGTTTATGTTCTTCAAATTGATCAAACAAAGATTGAATAAATATTAAAAACAAATGAATGTAACTAACTATTAAATAAAATTGATCTTTAGTCATCGTCAAGCAAATGAAGTTATATTTCTGCTGAAAACTTTTAGTTTTATGTATAAAAATTCCTAATCTTCAAATCGATCTTGGAAAAGGCAGATTCAAATAGCATAAAAGCTTCAGGAAATCATGATCATTTCACGAGATATTCAATAAACAAAGATGAAAAAAAAGCTCATTTGGCACTCCAATATTCTCTGTAGGCTTTTATTCTAAATACTTAATCTTCTTTTTTTTTATTTGAAAGAGTATGTCAGAATACACGACATAACCGAATCTTTTTTGTTTCTTAAATTCTTAGTTTTTAAAGGGAGAAAAGTTCAATTTCTCAAAAAAATGACGTTCTATTTATAAAGCTTTTTTTGATATATCCTGGACCCTAGCATACTCTTTCAAAACAAGCCATTGGCTACAATGAAACTCCTTCGAGAATTCTGGGATGTATGATTTAAAAAGCATAGACAGACAAATAACGAAAAAGATTTCTTGCATTTTTCAAGCAATCCAAACCTCAGTTTTCTTCCCATGCATTTATTTCAAAGTCTATGTTGTTGACGGAATTTAACTTCTTTCGTAAGGAAAGGAGGAGGAGTGAGGAATGAAAATTTATAAAAGATGTCTTTTTTTTTCAATAGAGAATATCATACGTAGCCTATTTGTTTAAGTTGAATCATTCATCCGCTCTCAGCGAGCGAAAGAACAAGAAAAAGCATGAATGTTGTCTGTGTAGAAGAATACACGTGGTGCTAGTGTTCGCTCATCTTTGACCTAAGTAACGCAATAATGGCGATGATTAATAGAAGAGAAAAACAAAACATCAATTATATAGATAAATATTTTGAATAATGTTTTTATTGATGTTGGTTATGCACAGAATAAGAATGAGAGAAGTAACTTTCTTTTTAGCCAAAGATCGACGAACGACGGTAGTATCTGAAATATTTTTAGATTAATTTTCTAAAAATTTATCTCAAAATATTGATTGAAGTATTTTTACTATCAGCTTGTATAAAAAATCTGCACATCATGTCAATATCATATTTTGGACTTCATCTATGTATGCATATATACATAGTACATGCTCATAAGCAATCTTTAATATCTCTACTGCTTAGGTTAAGAAATGTACACAAATATAAGTTTCAAATGATTCCTAATTTAACTATATTTTTTGTTTCTTTAACTTTGTATTTATGAAATATGTTATATTTTCATATATGCTGATGAAAAGAATATGAACTTGAGACAAAATTTTTCGTATAACATTTTTGTAAATAATTTAAATTCAGAACAAAGATAATCATAATCGAAAAAAAAATATAATCCCTGCTTTTATTATAGCTTGCGAAGCTATTTCTATTGAATATAAGAAGAATGCGCCATTTCATTATGCCTTATGATACGAAGAAGAAAAACGACGTTGCTTTTTTAAAAATAGCATAATGTTATTTGACGTTCTTATACTGCACTCAAAAACCTCATTCTTGTCAATTTCATAAGCAAGTCATGAAAAACGAAGGATTCAATGAAGAAAGTTATTGAAAAAAATATTTTTTTTTTCATCATTCTGTTTTTCAGACAGAATTATAGAGTAAAAAACAATCAATTAGTACACAATTTTATCAGTTCATTACCTATTATATTTCTGGTGATTTATAGAACATTTTTTTTCATATCAAAATAGGAGAAAAATTTCTCTGGAGAATATAAAAACATTACAAAGAGCTTCATTTACCATTTAAGTCATCGCGTTTTTCTAAACTTGTACTATGTAATTTATCAAAGATGATTTCAATAATAGTAAAACATCATTCAAAGTAATGTAACTTGGATTCATGAGAAATATTATTTAAATAGAATAATGATTTCTACTAGTGATACTTATGATAGTCAGAGCACATATATATTTAACATGAACAAGCAGTTGTAAACTTTTCAATATATTTGATAAAAGATCGTTCACAATCGCTCGAATTGTATACCGATATTGATTAAACCAATTGCAAAAAAAAATAATATAAAAAAATGAACTTATTGCTAAAAAAGAAGTCAATCTTTATCTTTTTTCGAAACAATTATATTGATATCACTAATTTGTCTATTATCAATCGGTAAACGCCATTACGAAATTTTAAAAAAATCCCTATATCATTCTTGATCTTTGCATTTATGTGAATAGTTCATAAAGCGCTTAATCAAATGCATGAACCATAAATACACAATTATTTTATTATGTTAGTTTATACATACATATGTATATATATTGTATTGCGTGATTTACCTGTACATATCTACGCATTCATCATAATACCTGTTTTGCTTTTTATGTAATATATAGGCCGTATTGAATAATAGTCTAACGATCGAAAAGAACCGATAGTTACAGATGACCGAACATTACATTTATATAAATAAAACAAAATCAACTTTCGATATAGTCATATACGACAAAGTTCAGTTCACATTTATCTACGAAATAAAGCGATATTGAAAAAAAAACAACATGAGATCGAACTATGACTGTAATAAAATTTTCTTCTCATTTAATTCATTCATTATTTTATTTGATTAATTAGATTGGAATCAGCAACAAGCTGGTCTTTATGCAGGTGGAGATACATCCTTACATTCTGTTCATGGAGAAATTCATGCTGGACCTCATTCAATACCAGCACATACTGATAATGGAATAGATCCTAATCTATTAAATAATAACAATATTAACAATAATAATAATAATGCTAATGATGATTCAGGTGCATTTGTTACTGCTGGAACAGCTGGTCAACAAGGTTTTGATGTTCGTACATTAGGTTTAAGTGAACAAGAATTAAAAGAGGCAGGTTTACATCCATCATTCATGCAAAGTGGTCGTCAACTTCCATTAGATCAATATAAAATAAATTACGATCCAAATCCAATTGTTATTCGAAAACAAATTCCTGTCGAAATACCAACTGTTAGACAACAGGTCATCGTTCGATATCGTAAGAAACAAAAAAAAAAACTATAGTTTCATCATTTTTAAAAAATTCTTCGTTTTATTTTATTTTATTTACTTAGTTCGACCTCCAACACCACCTTCGCCTGGTCCATTGATTATAAAAGAAGTTCGAGAACCTCAAGCAGCTGCAGCTCCACCAATTATTATACGTACACGAGCACCTCGAGAAAAGACACCACCACCAATAGTTATTCGAGAAGCTCCACCAAATCTACCTCATATTGATACTAATCCACAATATCTTACACGTGTTGTTCGTAATAGTGAATCATCATATTCATCGCCTCCTTCACGACAACAACAACAACAACAACAACAACAGCCACGACAATATCAACAATATCAACAACAACAACAACAATATCAACAACAAAAACAACAATATCAACAACAACAGCAACAACAATATCAACAATATCAACAGTATCAAAAACAATATCAACAATATCAAAAACAAAGACAACAATATCAACAACAAATACAACAACCATATCAGCAACAAATACAACAACCATATCAGCAACTTGGATCGTTCGATAATACAGCAGTCAATTATGATCAATTTAATGATATTCAAATTGGAAATCAATATGGCAGTGGAATAAATAATTTTGGACAACAACAACAACAACAACCAAAATGGATTACAGAAGTTGTGTCAAATAATGGAACAGCATCGGCAGCTCCACCTTATGTTTTAGGTATAATGGACAACTAATTTTTGTTTTTATTAAAATCTTAATAACTTTTTGTTTTTTCATATTTAGATGATATCTATCGAGCAGTTAATAATCAATTACCACGTGTATAATCAATCAAATTTTATGCTTTGTTAACGTCATTTTTATCTTCTTTTTTTGCTTATGCATAGAATTCGATGTAGAAAACTTCACGTAGTATTGAAACAGGCTCATAATAATAAAAAAAAAATATTTATAAGCCATATGATACAATAATTTTTCTGTGATAAAATCCAGTCGGAAAAAAAAACAAGAATAAAAAAATCTTCTGACATCTGCATCTATCTATTTAATATAGATGTTTTTTTCACATTCAATTGTGTTTTCTTTTTGTTATATAGACAACGTACTCTGTTTTATTATCTTCATTTTTATGAGCAAAAAAACAGAAGAATCACGCACGTGCAAAACACGCATTGTTCATTATTCAAGGTTTATCTCACTCTAACACGATCTGTTCTTTTTTTGTTGATTTATATATTTTTTTTTCTCTAAAATCAACAGACTACATACTTGTTATTATTTTAGTCAATACAGCAAAATGTTAAATATTTTCTTTATATATATACATGTTGATGCATTCATTGATTTTTTATCACATAGTGAGATAGAATACCAAGAAAAAATTTTCTATTAGAAAACGAAGAATGGAAACAGATTTATTATCAAATGTACGTGGAAATGTTCAAACACTTCGAACTATGTGGAGTGAAAAAGTACAAGAAGAACAAAAATCAGCAACGAATCGAGCATATTCACAAACATTACAGAAAAAATTAATGAAGGATAATATACAAACTCCTATTGCTACAGATGAAACACTAATCAACAGCGAATTGAAGATTATAACTGTTAGTGAAAGTAAGATAATTGAAATCAATATCATACCAATCAATACTAGATAGATTTCAAGGCAAATAAATATTCTACAGACAATTTAAAAATTATTCTAATCAATTTAAAGCTCGATAGTCAATTCTGTACTTCTTACTAAACATAGACATAGTCAACTGATTGTATTCCTGTTTAATGTCAAATATTATTCTTTTTTCTGTTTTAGAACCATCCAATGTTGAATCAATTGAACAATCATCATCATCATCATCGATTAATGAGACAGATTTTTTTTTACCACTTCCTGCACCACCATCATCTGTTATTTTTCAACATCAACCTCAAACAATTCTAACAATTAAACAAAGCGTTATCAAAATGTTTGATATTGATAAAAAGAAAACACATATAAATCATATAAAAAATAATGGTATTCGTCATTGGCATTTAGCTCGTCATGTATTTCGAAGTGGTCTTATATTTAGTCCATCAAGACGTGCATCTGATAGTATAATACCATTGTTAATGAAAACAAGTATTGCACAATATCATATTCGAGCAGAAAGTCTTGATAGTATTCAAACACAAACACCATTTCAAACTCTTATTGATTATCTTTCATATAATGATAATAATGATGATGAAAATATAAGTTTATTAGAGAAAAAAACAATTGTTAAACGTACTATATCAGATACAAGTGCTTGTATACAACGAAATAAATTAAATGATACCATTGCACAATATGAAACAATAATGCGTCATTTAAAAAATTATGATAAATTTAAAGAAACATATCCAATGTCATCACCATTATCATCAACACAAGAAACAATAAATATGAAACAAATAATGAAAAAAAAAGAAGAATTTATTCAACAAAATTTAATAAATAAATCATCTATTCGAAATACACAAACACAGTCATTAGCAAGAAATGCTAGACGTACATTTACAGAATTTATCATGAATGATCTTTTATCATCAAATATATCACGAACATTATCTAATGTACAATCATCTGTTAATATTGTTCATACGGCATCACAAACTGAAACTACTGAAATATTAAAACCAACTGAATCAATTAAATTAATGCAAGAAACTGAATCAATTCCTATAGAAGAAACAGATGCAGCTATAAATGAACTTGATAATGTTCTTAATAATACTGATACAGAAGTTTTATTAACTCCAAATAGTGAAATCAATGTTATTATTGTTAATCCTTCTACCACAGAGGATAACATAGTGAGACCCAACAAAAAAATCACAAACTAATTAGATTATAATTTTTGTTTGTATAAATTATGATCCTTTGTTTTAGACACAACCTAAAGAAAAGCCACTTATGCAACGTTTATTTGAAGGAAAAAAGACTGCATATACAGCAAATGATCTTAATATGGAATCAAATCGAATACGTTCGTTAATAGATTATATGTTTGTTTTTTTTTGTATTTTAATTTTTTTTTCTAGCCGAAGAATTAATGCAAACATATGAAATTGCAAAGAAAAAATGTTTTTTCCCATCAGAAAAACTGCTAGTAAGTGTTAAGAATGCTAAATTATTGTTTTTCTTAGTATTTGATCACATGTTTTTTCAGAATTTCCTCGAAAACTCTATAGAAGTACTAATGTAGGAGATTTAAGATGTGTTTGGTCGCTTTTGTTCGCACTTCCGCAGCGCCCACAAAGAGCGCGACGCCCCGCATGGTTATTGTTGCATATGTTCATTTAATATCTTTTGTGCTGGTACTTAATTGAGTTTCGAGAGGTATCTGTAGAAGACATTGTATGTATAATTACAATGATAGTCGAGCTTTGATTGTTCCGTATAAGCGAGATATGATATAATTTTCTATTAACTTATTTGTTATTAATTGTAAGAAGGAGTAATAAAAAAGAAAAAGAATAAGTACAATATAATATTGATAAGTTAATGTTATTTGTTTATTAAATATTATTTTGTAAATCTCAAAAATGCTAAATGTATAGAAAAAAAAGCAAATAACTCAGAAGATCATATGTTAATGTAGTTGTTCGGTCTTTCCTCATAATACTCTGTACAATGAGAATAATGAGTTTTCTTATCATTTGCTAATATGTTTGTTGTAAGAGAGTTATTTAATGGAAATTTCAATAGCGTTATTTATTTTAATTAGATAATGAAAAAAGAAATAAATACTAACCAGAGAAGTCCTTCAACTGATTAATCATTTTTGAATCAGAACTATGTGCATCGTGTAGTTCTAATGACTTTAGAGTATCTTGAAAAAGAGTTTAAGTCCTTCACGTATTGTTGCGGAAATATTCGATTGTTACAGAATTTTTTAATACAATATCTTGTCTGCCATCAAGAACACTAGAAACAATGGCTTTCCCAATTTCGACTTGACACTAGAGACAAGCCTTAATACGAATGGTTTATTACGATCGCTTCAAATCTGTCGATTGTCTCTGTCCTAAAATTTGGCTATGATAAAAGCATGTCTTTTATATTGCTCATATAAATCGATAGATTCAATGTTCTACTTTCAACATAGAAGTAAATTAAAAGACATAAAACTCTCATAATAAGTTATTCTTATTAAGACTTGTTTCTGTGCAACGTTTCAAGTTGAAATTCAAAAATCAATTGTTCTATTTTTTTCTGAGAAATGTCACGATATTGTAAAAACAGATGCAGTATGTTTTCAACAATACGCTAAGGACTCAAAATATTTTTAGGATACTCATTGCTCATTAGAATCTACATGTTGAACATAGTCATCACTCCAAAGCGATTAATCATTTGGAGAACTTCTCTTGTAAGTTAGTGACGACATAATAGTCGTCTTCTATTCATACAAATATCTGACACTAGAGAAAACAGCTAAAACAGTGCGTCATATTTTTGTTATTTAATAATACTGCTCATACGATAAACTTTTATCTTTTCGAAATCGATAATATATTATATTACTACGGATTTATACGATTCAAGATTAACCAATATCGAAAATATTGTTTAAAATCGTACAGAAAGTGATGAGTGCTGTTCAGTTTACATAACAATCCAGAGACAATATTAGTTCTCTCAATGACTGCATAGATATTAATTGTCTTCTTTATTGAAAAAATAAGATCCAATGTTTTTATGCGATCATAATGTGAAAGTCATATATGTAATACTTAATTTGGCGAAAAAATTATCTACAATAGATATTCTTCTCCTAAAATCTCAACTAGATTCGAACTCTTCTTGTAGATATATTGCTTCTTCAATAATTGACCATATTTTAACCAGTAGATGTGATCTATTTTGATTAGAATTTTTATATTACTCTAAATAGTGCATAACACATTGATAAACAAAATATAAACTTAGATAAAATGATCTCTTCATAAAAAGTTTTCTACAGATTGAAAGTTCAGTACAATACAAAATCACTGTCAAAGAACAATTTCATATGCATCAAATCTTTAAGCATTAAAATACGATCATATGTATGGACCTACGAAATATAAATGATTGTTTACTAATATATACTGATTTTATATGCTTTGTCTTACTATGATTTGCTTGACTACTGATCTACAATGATAGGTCGAAAATTAATTTCAGAAAAATATTGAAATTATAAATAAAAAAAAAGATTTATACATTGGAAACATCTTATCTAGAGAAAGTGTACTTTTCAAAAAGAAACATGTCTTTTCTATCATAATATCACTTGAGAAACATTATTTTTCGAAATTAATCAATTTATCTTGATAACTTTTGAGATGAGAAAACATTTTGATTATTGATGGATGGAAGAAAGAAGAATGTTCCCACCTTTCAGCTACTTTGTAGTATGGCGTTATGCTTAGCAAGAGATTAAATAGCCCGATATGTTTCCTACAACTATGACTAATTATATTGTATCGAATGATTTCTTTATAGTATGCAACAAAAATGATTAAAATTGATCGTCGAGGTTATAAACAACATATTCGACTTCTATGTTTAACAACAGAACGTGTTTATATAATAACAAAAAAAGATCCATATCCAAAAGAAACTCTTCTTTTCAAAGATATTCTTGGTATTACTTGTACACCATGTCAAGATGGCTTTATATGTCTTCATACAAGAGAAACACGAGAAGATCGAGTAAAATTTAATTGACTTTTTCTTTTCCGTAGAAAATTTAAATTGATAAATTAAATTTTAAGGGTGATTGGATTTTTGTTATTGATCATCCATGTGAAT